CTTTACCCCGAAATTAGATTAGATCTAAGTCCGTGGCTTTACCGAGAATCTCAAAACCTCGCGAGCTATATATACCTGGATCTATTTTAAAACGTTGACGAATTGTTTTACTAGAGCTGGTTACTATGGTCTGATACTTTAACAATATCGACACAGATACCGTTTTAAAGGTTTTCTGATTCGTTAGAAAAATACAAGTGTGTGGTCTTGCGTATATATTTTGTTGCAGTACGTCATAGCACGGACTAAGATATCTAATCTAATTCCGTGGTCATAGGTACCGTTGTAAACATATGAACGATAGGAAAATTAGCTAAATCTTAAAAATCAGTATTTTTAGAATTTAATAACCATGAAAATATTTGTACGGTTGTTGTATATATTTCAATTTCCTAACATAATTATGTTTCAGACAGGGTGAGTTGTTGTTTGAGAGTGTTCTCTCTTATGTAATATGTACAGTAATCATATATCTCACACACACACACAAAAGGAGTCGTTTTTATTATCATAAGATAAGATTCCATATAATACACAATCATAATTCATCTCAATTTTTAAAATCGGCATTTTTAGTACAGTATTTAAAGCTCGAGTGTCTGGATTAGTAAATTAAAGTTGCCAGTACGTGTATGAATATGCCACCTAAGATAGTGTTTTAAACATAAATTATTTTCAAACAGAGTAACTTAGTATTGACTTGAGAACAGGCCTATATTACATAATGGTTATCTAACACCGAGAGAAACGACGGTAATTGTACTGAACTTACGATGTTTAATTCTTATTAAATTGTCGGTACACTGACATCCTCGATACTGAAAGGGTTACGCTCACTTACGCTCTCTGAATATCCTACCGGACCGTGACCCTGACTAGTGAAGATGGTACACTGTAAGACGAAAAGTGTCACACTCACCATAAGAAAAATAAGAATGCATATCATACACATCCTGATTTATTTTTTAACAAGAGCATTATTATTAATAGGGAAATGATGAGAAGTTTGGAACCGCTGATCTAATAACAGACATGTGTTTTATTAGTGTGGCGAGTCATGACACCACAACTGTAAATAGAGCTTGGAAACTACGATTTTTTTTTATTGTACTGTACCTTACTGATTCAATGTGATCTGCTTTCGTTTCAGAATGGAAGATATACTACCTCGCTGTCAATTTGAACTTTACAAATCTTATTTTGAGATTTGGAAAAACAAACGCTTAATATAACATTTTAAAGTTCCTGATCTATTTTAGTCTCATAATTGATCTTACAAATATATATGCATTTTTTTTTTAGAAAACACGTTTTGCTTTTCATGATCACTAACTCGTCAAATTTGTAAGCCGCTTATCAAAGTCAAACTTGTTTAATTTCCGTAAGAGCTGCATGTCATCATACAAAACCATTGTATATTGTAGTTTTACAATAATGATATCAGTCCCAGTAGCTCACATAGGCACATACCCGATATTTCGATATCACTGGCGCTGGATACAAAATATCTCGATATAAGCAGGTTTTAAGTTTATATTTATCGAATTTTTCTTTACAGACAAAAATTTTGAGACGTACAGCACTTTATATATATATAATATATATAAGTATGAATTGGCTGAATTTATGACAAATTCTCGAAAGAGACTTTTCTGATGACAATGACAATGACAAGTTTTTATTCCGCAAACTGGTTACAGTGTAGAGAATTTACATATACATTTACATATATAGAACAATTAACATATAAATCATGGTGTTAATGGACAGTGTTAATTCGCTCAATTATGTACTTAAGGAATTTTTATAAGTGAAATTTTTTCTTCATTATTGACATAATTAAAATGTGTATTGAACTTGAAAGTACTAGGACGTTGAAAATAATATCTCGACATCAATTTTCTTCTGTTTTGCAGTATCTGGTGATCATTACAATTTAAGAAATAATGATATTCGTCTTCAATTTCAATCAGATCGCAAAGAATACATTTTCTATCTTCTTTAGGAATGTTATTCCATCTACCACATTCAATCGGAAATTTACCATTACAAATCCTAAATTTACAATTTGTAATCACAAAACCCCCAGACTTCACAACCATACAACATGACAGGCTTTTTCAGTCAGTTGATAGAGTATGGTCTCTGCATTTAGCAATAGCACCATACATTGCTCTAAGGCCCTTATCATATAGCTGTCTGATATTTAACTGCGTGAAACCATTTAGAGTAAAATGAACACCAAGTTATTTGAAATTTTTCACAATTTCTCCTTAATTTCTGTTATAAGTTAAACGTATATTTTGGGATACTCTCCCTCTACCAAATATCATCACTTTTGTTTTATCGATATTTACTTTAAGATGCTACAATTTGGAATAATCATAAAACACATTAAGGTGTTTTTTTTGTAAATCTTCTGGTGTTTCTGCTAACAAAATAGTGTCATCAGCATATAACATTACATACACCTTGAGATATATACGTGTAACTCATTCTCAAGTCGTCCCGCCAAATTTGATAGGCCTGTACAGTCACTAGATTCTAAAACCATTTCAAGGTCATTTAGATACAATGAAAATAAAAATGGGGAAATATTTTCACCCTGCCTAACCCCGGAATTACAGGTAAAGATATTGGAGAATGTTCCATCTTTCATGACTTTAGCCAATTCCATTGTACATATAAACTATAACTTTAAAACAGTTTCCATCTACATTATTTGTTATTAATTTGTTCCACAGCCCTATCCCCAGACACTGTCGAACGCTTTCTCAAAATCGATGAAAGCACAATACATACGGTTTTTGAATTGTTTTGAAAGTTGAATTAAGGAGTATAAATAAAATATACGATCTATTGTAGAATGTTGCCTACGAAAACCTGCTTGGTTTTCAAGTATAAGTTCGACATTTTCTGCATATGTATTTAGACGCTCGTTAATTACAGCTGTAAATTTTTTACCTAGGCAACTGACCAGTGTGATTGGTCTGTAGTTTTTAGCGTCATACATATCACCTTTATTTTTAAACACGGGGATAATATGACCCATAAGCCATGCTTCTGGTACATTACCAGAATCAAGTATAAAGTTAAACATTTAACATATACTGGAAGCATTATGTCAGCAGTTGATTTGATATATTCATTACATACTTAATCATCAGATGAATGTTATTAGATTCAACGTAAGGAAACACAAGTGTCCCAGTTATCCTTTGTACCAGATAAAGATTATATCCAGAGGTGTGTGGGATCAGCGCTAACGACGCTACTGGTGTACACAAAAGCCGAGGGAGGGACGTATCGTCAGCAAATAGGTATAGCTATTGCTTCAGTTATGTATAGACCTCTGATTATTAAAGATTAATACATGTTATATTACACGTATACTATTTATATTTATAATTAAACGTGCATTATTCGAATATATAATGTTTAAAGGTAATGAGTGGTTTTTTAGTTTGACATTTTCCCATGAGCTAGCTATACCTCTATGTATTATCTGGTTTCTATCTTTAAAACAGCAATCTGGTTCATCTCTGAATGCTAGCTATAGTCCGACATTACAATTCTTATACATATAATATTTTAAAAGCTGATTTGCTGATAGTCGTATCATGTTATGTCGGAGACGTACACTAGAATCTTAGAGTCATAATTAGTCCTAGCTGATACAGTTAAGGGATTCCGAGGTTCCAAAACAGCGAACTTTTCCGTATTCCGGAGTCCAGACTATCAAAGGGGCAATGACAGAACATCTATCAACTCAGAAACGTATTGCTGTGTACGATATTTAACTAAAAGGACGCATGGTAGTCCAGTTGTAGGACGCCGGGCTCGTGACCGAAGGGTTGCGGGTTCGCGCCACGGCACGGCAATGTGTTGTATCTTTGAGCAAGATACTTTACTCCGCTTGTTCCAGTCTACTCAGATGTAAATGAGTACGTGGTCGGCAGTGGTAGAATTGTTGAATGCTAGCTGTAAGCGCCGAAATGGCAGCTCCGGCTGTATGCTCCCCAGGGAATTGAGAAATGTATTGACTGGTTGCAAAGGCCCTATAACCACGGATAATAATTTGTGAACCGCTTTGAGACGACCTACGAACTAGGTTGTGATAAAGCGGTATATAAGAACCTCCGATTATTATTATTAATTATAAAATGGTATTCGATAAATGCAAAAGTCTATAACTAATAATACGATTAATTGGTATTTGTACAGTTACTATATCATTATCTTAGTATTTGCCCCAGTTATACAGGTTTAGTGTAGAACGTTAAAAAACTGCTAAATTAAATTAATATATTTTTATTATCGTCCGCTTAGGTCCAATATTTGCATATGCTTCATATAATAACTTTAAACAGCAAATAAATAGTTTGAAAAAAGCGCCGTGGACTCGGATACTGTATTATTTAAAGAGTATACTGTCATAATATAATTAAACAAATGTTAATCAATCAACCAGATAGAGAAAGTGATTAAATTTTGAGCTTCATAATTTTTCTATAATGAAATGTGAATATTATCTAAACGGCTAGACTTATGAGTAGGCATATACATACCTTTGGTTGATCTTACAGAGTGCTCAGGAAGCTTGAATAACATGCGGTACACTAGCATTACAGCATGGTTATAGCACGGAATCAGAAAATATGCTTACTTTATTGTGTAATGTGGTGATTCAAGTCTAATGATAATGTTCTTTCATTTAAATTTGGAAAATGTAAATTATTACATTTTTGCGGTGTTGAATTGGAAAAAGGAACTCTGAAAATAAACATTCAAATCCCTGATCTATTTTTGTTCCTGCTATTAATAGATATTACCGGGTATGTACATACACAAGTTATGCTTATCAAACGACGATCGAATTAAATTTCGCCTCTTTCTTATCGTGTTCGTCAACTCGTCTCATTTGTAAGCTGCCTGACATAAACGCGCCACATGAGACGAGTTGTCTTTTAGACCGGAAAAGCTCTATGATTAACGGAAGTTGTCGATGCGCACGCAACTCGGATTTTGCGAAAAATACAACAAGAACAAAAAGAAAATGCAGCCTCAAAGATTCCCAGGCCAAGGTCCACCCATGAGACCGTATCAACAACAAGGATACCCACCCGTGCGTATCATTTATCGGGGTAGATGATCAATGTATCCAACAAGTCTTGTTTTTTTCATTTAGTTCTTTATATCTATTATGCCGGTGATTGGGGGTTTTTTTTTCTGGGGGGG